TCTTACCAAAGTGCAGGTTCAGGAGCCCCATCGATGAGTCTCGTTCCCAGTCACTAAGCTTCGGGCTGGTTGTTGACACAGAAGTAGGAGCCATCGCCGCTTCCTATTTTGTTGTTCCCGGCGGTACACACATTCCTGAGTCTTCTTTACCAGGACTATCCTGCCTGGTCAGGTACCATTACTTTGCTCTCCTGCGTGAATTTAAAACCAGCCTGCCAAGTCATATGGTGAAATGCTACTGGAATTTTGCCTGGAATTGCAGTGATTTATACGAAAAAATGGAGACAAACAGAGCTTCATAATATTGTCTTACCGTCCGTGAACATGGTATGTTTCTCAGACCTTTTTGTTTCCTTCAGAGTTTAGTGACATCCTCCACGAAAACCTTAACATCTGGAGTTCACTGCCAGACACCACACAGATTTTGCTCCGTCAGTGGGATCCCTTTCTCCCGGATGCTGATTTTTGCTGGGAAAAGAAACGTCCTGGACTTTGTATGACCTGGTATCAAGCCAGACGTGCTGGACTCTTCTGAATCTTCGTAGTTTCTTACTTGGCTCTGTGTGTTTTTACTTTTTTGGGAGACAGTCATGTTACTGCACATTACATTTTTGTCCACTTTACACATCCCTTTCCTTTTTTCTTGACTCCCCGCATTAATCCAGATGTCCTTGGTGACGGCAGGCAGCCTGGCGTGTGAACGGAAGGCTCTGTTTCACCATCAACATGATGTCGGCTGTAGGTTTCTGTTGTCTTTCACAGGATGGGAATTTCTTAAAATCGTAATTACGAACGGTTGTTAAAAAGTATCGGATGCCTTTTTCTGTGGTGTTGGAGAAGACGCCCTTCTTCCCTTTTGGTCCACTAATGTGATGAGTGGTGTTACTGGGTTCTCCTGTGTCAGACTAGATTTTATGAGATAAACTCACTATGGTTGTGATTTATTTTCCTTTTAACACATTATTAGATTTAGTCTAATATTTTATTAAGGGTTTTGCATCGATATTTCTTCAACATTTAAAAAAATTTTTTTTTGAGAAAGACAGACGTGGTAGGAAGAGGAGGAGAGGGGGAGAGGGAGGGAGGGGGAGGGAGAGAC